AATTCCTCACATGATCTCAGAATAAAGATGAAAGGGCATTTTGGCTCCAATCCTGCAGTTTGCTTGTTGAAGACACATGTTTGCACCCATCTAGAATAAACTGCAAGATAATAGCTTAATGAACACAGAAACTTTCTACAGGAATTAATTTCGGATTTGTTGTGTTAAAAGGCTTGAATTGTTTGCCACTGCAGTGGCAATTTTTACACTTAGCTGCAAATAACCCTCTGATTTTTCAATGGTCATTGAATTTGGTAGGACCACAAGAAGCTTTAATGGAGGTGGGCTGCAGAGTTATCTCACATTTTACAGAAGCAAACTTGATACCAAAACCACACTTTCTAGGAAAAAATTCTGAGCTGTATACTCATATTAGTTACATGAAAACTACAAAATAAAGACATTCTTGAATTATCTGATAGGGAAGAAGAATTTTTTTTTTTTTCAACTGGTTTCTCTTAGCCCCCAGTAACAGGATTAGTGAATTTCTCCCACTCTGTCACATTAGGAAAAAAGGGTAATGTAGAAAGAGGACTCTGCCCAGTCTGTTCTTGTTGTATAAGAATGGCAGCAGTTTAACAATTATTTGTGATCACCACCTCTATATAACAGCGACTAACACGCTCTGAAGTAGGAGACAAATTGTAACCAAGGAAAAAGGGAAAGAAAATTACCCTTCAAGTTATTTTCAATATTTCTGGGCCAGTTCTTGCCACCCTTGTTCATGAGAGTGACTCCAATGACCTCACACATGGAAGAGGCCTCGCAAGGAATTGCTCAGATGAGTAAAGGTTAGGCCAGATCGTGTCGTTTAACCCCCACCACGTTTCAAACCACGTTGATGACCAAAGCGGCAGCACTTTTTCGCCTTCTTTTGCTCCTTTTTTGCTCTGGAACTTTTCCCTGCCCCGCACAAGCACAGCCACAGCTCTCAGAAAGTACTCGCCCTCAGCCACATGTGCTTCTAAGTAGCTTCCTCAGCTTGCTTATTTATCAGGAATCAGGAGTGCTTTATGCTTTCCATCTTGGGCTCTTTGAGAAAGAAAATATCAGAAGTGGTAGCGCAGCAACAGATGAACAGCAAGTGACATGAGAGGCTGACACCAGCATTACCAGAAACTAATGAACTTCTGCTTTAGCTTTAATTGTAAGCGCAACTACAAATTTTCTTGTACTCGCTGCAGTACTTTTGACTTGTTTTTTTTTCACATGGAAGGGTCTTTTGGTAACCATGAAACACTCCCAATCTAGCCTCCTATATTAGAAAACAAAGTGTAACGTGGTATCAAAGCATGCAGTTGTTGCACAACCATGTTGCAGGGTTTCCTGGGTCTGGTTATGTTACAGACCGTGGTTCCCCACCTCAATTAATCTGTTACAGAAAGATTAAACATGAGTTACTGCAGACCACCACATAATACCATTACGAAGCTCTCAGGCTGATCTTCCTGGCCACATGTTCATTAGCAATGGCCAGAATCCGCATTTTCTTTCAGTGAGAAATTTCACTTTAAAACTCCGATGTCCTCACACATAAACCTACAGCTAGACCAACAGCTCAGTTTGGCTCGTAGCGCAACATGCAACAAGGCAAAAGACCTGGGCTGAAGAGTACTCGTACTCCTCAGGCTGGTGAGGACGAAGGTTAGCTAGCACTGCATCAGCAGGAGCACCTCCAAGCAGTCACAGTGTTTTGCCACAGTGAAACTATTGTATACTGAGGGGAGGGACTTTTCACAGGATAAAATGGCAGCCCAGAATGCAGGTGCAGGTGAGACTGACCTGTGATCCCGACTCCCTGTTTGGGGGTGGTCAGAACCCCCTGGGCTTATGCCTTGGGCCGGGATTTGGTGGGCGAGAGAAAGCCCAGGCTCAGATGCATGGGTTACCCTGCTGCAAAAAGACAATATAGAATATAAAGTCTAAGCCAAAGGTGTTCGTATCAGTTATAACAACGAGGAAGACAAGTGCTTATAGGAAAAGCAGTGCAAATTAACGCAAGCCAGAATCGCTATTTCACAAAACATGTTCCCTGGAACCTGTTTTAACACGCCCAATGAACCTGTCAGCTTATTCAGAAAACTCTGATTATCATTCCTGGATAACTCTAACTGATTTCAAAAGAAAACTTGCTTTATCCATCCATTTCATCAACCCTGTTTCTGGAAAAGCTGCAGAAACATCTGGCCTGTTGGCATTGCTTCTGTGTGAACTGAACCATCTGCTCTGATTAAAGAAATTTTGTTTTAAAACATCTGGAAAAAATTAAAACCATCCCAAAAGAGCCTTAGCAGTCTCCATAGAGCTATACCCTTAGCAAAAGCCTTGTACACGAATCTGTTAGGCATGAAGTGCAACACAAAGGCATGAGCAGTACATTTTTCAGGAACTGTCCAGTGTGCTTGCAGCCCTTCTGTCAGTGCTGCTTGTGAGGGCTCCAGAGCTCGAACCTTGCTCCATCCTTAAGAAATTTTGCTTAAATGAGTAATGGCATGAAGTCTCTATCTGATGCTCTGCTTTATAAAAAAAAAAGCCTTGTGCATAATATATGCAGTTATTGCACTTGTGAACATCAGATACTCTAGTAAGCAACTGTAATAGTGAGCACCTGCTTAAAAAAAATCTGAATTCTGCACAAGATATGGCACAAAGGAACTCAATTTTCTAGTGCTTAACTACACTGCTCCAACTATTAACAGGAGACCAAAAGTATTACTCATCTTCTTCCATCTCCACAAGTGTGCTTCACTGGCCTCCCAAGAGCCACAAAAGCAGACCTTCCAAATGCCATCACCATTTCGTAACAGATGCCAATGCTCTTCTGTATTTCCCGGAGAAGGTACAAAGGTAAATTTGTCTGGGAAAAGACTCCATGCATTCTGAGGCATCCTCAAAGCGCTCAAAGCTTTTTGTTTTCTAAGTGAATAAATGCTGGCCACAGACAGATAGACCATTCTCAGTCAATTTTCTCTGCTCACAAAGGAAGTTCTCTTTCCAACTGGAGCCACTGTTCATCCTCAACAATTCTCTCCATTCCCCATCCAACTGACATAACAAGTGGATCATTCAGTGGGAACTCTTTCTCCAAAAGGTGGCAGGCGTGCCAAGGAGGCTCAGACAAGCCACGCAGTCCCATACACTCCAGGATAGACACATCAGGAGAAAGAGCACTTTCCTGCCTGGCAGGTCTCTCCCAGGAACACACATGCTGTGCTTCATCCCTAACAAGCTGCTGCACAGCCCTTGGGAAGTACAAGTCTCCACCCTCCAGCACCAGGGCTGATGCTGGGTTGGGAGAACATAACAAACAGCAAGAAGGAAAGCACAGGGTTAGATGGAAATTCCAAGGCACCTTTAGAAAAGAAAAAAAAACTACAGGGAAAAGATTTCTAACTCACACTCTGCCTACCCACTTATTTAGTGCTCTAAAGTTCTTAAGACTAAATATATAATAAACCATCTGTGCAGGGCAGAGGAAAAAGTACTCATTGGGTTGGTTTGGTGTTACTGGAAACAATACTCCTCCCATGCAGTTACGTTCACTCTAGGCTAAAAAGAGCTGATCTGTTTTCATTCTTTATGGACCAATTCAGCCCCAGTGTACACCTTCACTGAATGACAGAATAATGGCATCATAAATTTAAACTGGGTTGTTTGAGTTTGTTTAACAAATTTTGTTTACGAAACACAATTGGAAAACGAATGAAAGCACAGGACAACTCTCTAAAGAAGAATGTGCAATTTCATTTGTATTCTTGCCAGTTTGGTCAGAGTAATTTTGCTTTTATCAAATTGTCTCATGCAAGGAGAAAAGAAAATGAGCAAAATAACATTTCAGGGAGCGTTTATCAGCACAAAGACCAAGAGTACAGTGGCTCTTGTCAAATAAACTCCTCCAAGGGAGCTGGAGCTAAAATTGCTGGTTCCATGTTGCCATTTTGACCATGCAATGTTATAATTGCAATGTGCATCAAACTGTTATTTCTGTAACTTCTAACAGAGGGTCTTCTCTACGAACCTTTCTGATTCTACTCACCTCAAGACCGTGCACTACAGGTAGAAGAAAAGTTTCAGAAAAAAATCAAAATCCCCAAACTGAAGAAAGCAGGGCCCAGAGAGGAGCTAGCATTATTAGTTTCCAGCAGGGTTCGTAAAAAGTCCATCTGCCCACAGAGGTGCAGAGTAGTGCTAATGATATGGGGAAAGGGCACTGTCCTGGCCACCATGGTCAAAGAAGGGGCCATTCCTGTGTGGCGTTAGTGCTGTAAGAGCAAGCCAGTGCTTGGCAAGTCCAGAGATTATGTTTTCAGCCATTCACCCTTCATTCACAAAAGGAGCTTGAACCAGCAGTATGTAAGAAAGGCTTTCTCCCTATGGGGAGGCACTGCACACAGATTCTTCAGTAAATGCAACCAATAAATCAATAAGAAAGCAACTCTAAGCCATAATGGAAAGATCTGGGGAACAGTTGTTTGGTAAGGACTCTCATTACCCATTTATTGCTGGGCTTACTCAAGACTGATTGTTCCAGGCTTACAATGATAAACCTCAAGGTACTCTCAAAGCAGATACCTCTCCTAAAACCTGCAGCAGGTATGTGTATCTAACTCTGCAATGGCCCAACCCAAGGCAAAGACAAGGGTAGGAAACAGGTTATCAAATATTCAGTATTGAACCAGGATACACTCAGCAATGGCAGTTTACTGTAGACAAAAGCCTGTAGTGATGGTGCAGGCTGCCACCATCATTGGGAATTGCTATGGGAACGACTGAGAGGAAGCCTACATAAAAAAGAAAATTGATAGTTAATTTTTTAAAAATACATAAAAAGAGGTTGAAATGCATTAGGTAAACCTGTTACCACATTATCAGTCAGCAATCAGAATGGGCCACAGAGCAAAAATGCAGCTGTCTGCTTTTCAGTACTCTCAATCTCTATCTACAAAACATAAATATGAAAACTGTACTTTTTGGCTTTGCTTTTATAAGTTCAGACTTACTCAGTTGAATTAGACCGAGGCCTAAATCTTTTGCCTCTGACTTTCTTTCTGTTTCCTCCTATATTACCTGAAAGAAATCAAATGATAAAAACAGATTGTAAAACAAATTTAAACCCACCTGCATCCCATGCCAAACTGTATATTGTTTCTGCATCCCCAGCTAAAGAGTTATCTCATTAGCTTTAACCATTTAGAAGTCACAAGTAAGTACCTCTCAATTTAGTTCAGATCAGCTAAACCTGACACTTAGATGATCTTTCTTTACTCTTTCCTGCAAACGTGCAGAGCTAAAAAATCCTTAATTTCAGCTGTCAATTGAGAGGATCACTGCTCTTCAAGAAAAACACAGAATACTGCCTCATAAAATCACAGAAGCTGGCAAGAGTGAATAGACTTCTTCCCTTTTTTCATGTTAGCTCACACTGGAGGGACGGGAGAAATTAAATGTCATTTCTAGGTGACAAAGCACTGTGCAAAAAAGGTACTTGTGTAGGGTCCTGCTACATTACAGTTCCGTATTAATAACAACCAGCACAATTCTATGGAGTCATGCTGCTGTCCTAAGATCAGCTAAACTTTCAGCAGAGCAGCACTGGCCCAGAGGCTGGTTTCCACTGTGGCCACCACAGAGGTACACACTTACCTTGCCAAGAATTACTCCTAGGCCTCCCATTTTCACAAATGTCTGAAATATGTTTTGTGTCTGGGATCCTTTCACTCCAGGAATGAGACAATCCATTTGACCTGGAACAGGAGGGCTCAGATGTGGTTATTGTTAAGGGTATTGTCTCACATCAGTGTTAGCTCAGCAGTTCAGAGTCACATTCCTGATGCTGGTGACACAACACAGCCTAAGGTCTGTCTGCACTAGCAGAGCATCCAGGATTTCTGGTTAAACCCTGCAGTTACTTTCAGTGTGCCCACATTCAAGAGCCAGGCTTCAACACTGCTTTCTCACACGTCTGCTGTGGAAAGCACAAACACCAGTGCATACCACATTTCCTTTGGATCTGCAGCTCTGTCCAAGTTCTTAGCTGGAAGATCTCTCCCAACTGTGCCCACCTCAAGGGTTTTTTTTACCTCCCAGTCAAGCACATCCCACCTGCGGCCTGCCCACTCCCTCACCATGCTGCTGCAGGAAAGCCTGGACTCCTTCCCTCAACCCACTACCAGTCCCAGGGACCTAGGAGATATCCTCCCACCCACAGCTGGTAGCTCCAGTGGAAGGATAACCGCCTCATTTTTGCTACTTTTGAATTTTTATTACATTTTGTCAGTCAATCACTGCAGTATATATTTCTAGTGCTAAACTCAAAGCCAAAACCAGTCTTTAGATCTGAGTGCTTGGTGCAAACTAAAGTTTTTCTTTCCTCTTGCACTCTCTTCAAAAGCCAGAGACGTGACAATGTCCAACACATGGGGTTTTGCAACAGTTTCCCCACTGGTTGAACTAAAGCAGCTGCTCAGCTGTTTGCCATGAGATCTACAAGTATTTCCAAAAGAGAAAAAACAAGAGGAAGTTGAAAACTGGTCAGAATAGATGGCTTATTTATTACAAAGAAAGGAACTATTTCTGTCACTTCTAATACTCTTGCATTTTTCAGTCTCTGCTTTCCTTGGAAGATAAGCATCTGAGAGATGCTCTTCAGTTTCCAGAAGACCAGGCTAATAGCAGTCATACTGAAGTGAGCCCAGTGTTTCATTAATTCAAACTTGAAAAGAGCACAAAAGGCGTGAGAACCAACATATCTAATGATGGATTTTTTAACACCATTTTCTCCCCCTAAAGTTCTATTTTCAGGTTCAGGAATGTCTTGCTACATATTGGTTTTGGTGTTTGCTATTGTGTAACAGCAAGAGACTGGAATGGGTTGCCCAGGGAGGTGGTTGAGGCCCCATCCCTGGGGGTCTTTAAGGCCAGGCTGGCGGAGACTCTGGGCAGCCTGATCTAGTGGGAGGTGTCCCTGCTCATGGCAGAGGGGTTGGAACTGGGTGATCCTTGTGGTCCCTTCCAACCCTGACAGATTCTGATCTGTTTTAGCAGAGGACTTTAGAGCCCTAATGGCTCAATGGTTGGACTTGATGATCTTGAAGGTCCCTTCCAACCTAAAGGATTCTATGATTCTAAGAGTTATCAGAAAGTCATGTCTTAGCCCTTGAACATCTTCTGAATACCAGCTAACACTTCATAATGCTTTTCAGCATGGAGAAGCCCAAGCAGCTAATGGCCCAATCGCTCTTACATCTCCCAAGAGATGCTATCCATACCTGCACACAGAGCAAAGCAAAGCCAGCTCAGAAGCTAGGAGATAGCACTCTGGATATTCAAATGGAAGGACTATGTCAGCTTCACCACAATGTTAATTGATTACTTGTCAGACTTACTTTTCCAGACTTGGCAGTGGCACAACACACCTGAACTGGTGGTTGTGAATAACAAAACTCGCTAGTACAGACAGACCTTAGAAACCATTACCTTTTGGGAGCAAATAAGAAACAGAGACACATGAAGGAAATGAAGCATGAAAAGAAACACAGATACTGAATGAGAGAAGAAACACATTCAATGACACTCATTTCAGGGAACTTTTTTTCCTGAACTGATATTTGAACCTGCTTACACAAAGCTATGAAAACTTGCTTTCCCAAGACTTTTTTCAAAATCTTAACCAAATGAGAAAAAAGATGCTCCAACACAAACACTGCATCATTCACGATTAACACTTGCTTCCTAAAAAAAAAAAATTATCCACTCACACATCTAAAAAGCAGAATTTAAAAATTAGAAATCATTAATGAATCACTCCTAGTTTTCCTAATAACATAGGCATTAGAACAGACTGATTGAAATTGTATATAGGATCAAACTGCTATACCCAAAGAGCAAATGTCACTGCAAATGTCTCACTTCCATACATTTCTCTTTACTTTCTTTGAAATAACAACAAAGCAAATGGCTTCATCAACTGCACAGTTATAGACTGCTCAGCAAGACAAGAAATGAGAATTGCAGGTTTTTTATGAAGCCATTCAGGAATTTTTACCTCTCCTATGACCCAGTGATTCTTGTAAATTGTTTTAAAGTGCTAACTGCAGATACTAATAATTAAAGGATTTCCAACTGCAGAGGGATGGTGATCATCATGACTTAAAGCCCACAGCAATTTACAAATGGCTCTCAATGCTTTTCAAAGGATTTTCCATTTTAAGATGTTGGTTTTTTAAATAACTGAAACAACAAAAGAATTAATGAAATCTGATCAAGGGCAAAATCTAATGCCCTCCTTGGTTACTCAAGCACAAAATTACAGGAAGTCTTTGTAGAATTATATTCTAAGATAGCACTTGGTGAACATTTAGTACACTAGTCTAGTAAGTGGAATAAAATGTAAGCACCATCATCTTCAATGTAAGACAGCGAGAACATTATACAGAAATCTACGTCAACTCCACAAACTAATGACACTGACAAAGATATAAAAATAACATTTATATTGAAGAGTTTATAACTATTATTACAGCAAGACAGTGTTCCTTTTCTTTGATTACATGACCATGAGTTTAAAAATGGTGGGATTTTTATTCATTTTTTTTTTTTTTTGAGCCAGCAATTATTATGAGTCTACTTGAAAACAATTCTCAAGCAGGGAGACGATGAAAACTTGATTAACCAAAAATTTGTTTACAATGGAAAACTTGTTTATTCTGGCCTTTTTGTATTAATTAGAAGCTCAGGGCATGTGAGAAAAATCAGTAATCAAAGCACAAAGGATGCTATTTCAAACATTCCACAAAGAAAGAAGAAAGAATCAAACCTGCTGCAAAACAATGAAATGTTCTGACTAATGGAATAATGGGTGATGGAACAGGTAGAAATCTGAAAATGCGACAGAAAAGCAGACCTCTTCTTAGAACTAGATGCAGAGTTTGTGCTGACTCCCGGAGGCATGTCGCTATAAAAAGAGTCGGCCTCTCCAGGCTTTTTTACATAATCTCCCTGGGGTATTTGTCTAAAGTGTAATAAACATTGTAGAGTCAGAAAACATGACAGGCACTACCACGCACACAAACATGCACAAACAATAGTTTAGAAGAAAGAGGCAAGGCTAGTGATCCTTGAGGAAACTGTTAACCACACACAATAAACCTATTAATAAAGAATTCAACCATCTGAAAGATAACTCCTGTATTATTCTTCTTGTGTGTGCAGAAAAGTGAATTATTTGGTTTTGGTAGGGGAAAACAAGGAAAATTTCACTGATAAACTCTGATCATAGCCTTCAAAGTGAATAGTTTGTGGTTCTTGAGACAGCAGATAAACAAGTCCAGACATTTCAAATGGCTCATTGATTTGGTTGTGAAAAGCATCCTCAGGTGCAGTACAAATACTGTGCCCTGAGCTGAATACCCATCTGGATCAAATTGGAGTTTAGAAAAGTGGATGCTTTTTTCCTTTAGATAGATGCTTTCCACTCAATTTTTGTGATCACTACTGAATTCAAGAATAGAAAACTGTTGAGTTGTTTAAACCCCAGAAGGAAAATCATCCAGTTTATTAACGGTTCTCTTATGCAGGGGATCTAACACCTGCATCAGAGGTTCTCAGCTACTCCCAATTACCACAACAGACTCAATCTGCCAAGGCATATAAAAATAATGCCACATATATCTGACAACAGTTTATCCTTTTCCACTACTAGAAGAGTGGGTTTGGTGCATAAAACTATCTATGCATGGGAAAGTCCTAATAAGGTACACAATTTTTACAGATGGTGAATTCATTGCCAGCAGAAAAACCATCGTGCAAATATTCCAGTTACAGTGCCACCAAGTTGAAAAAATCCTCCCTAGTACTAGCACCTACTTTGAAAGTTATCAGTCTCAGTTGTTGATATCACAACTTTGAAAATTATCTGTGCACTATCTGGGCACTTCCCAAGGCCTTTTTGCTTCACCTGCCTCTATTAGGATGTGCACTTGCCAAAAAGCTGATTCACATTCAAATTGTGTCCAACTACAGGCCTGATCTTGGCTCTCTGAATTCTGTATCTGAATTTCTAATGCTCCTGAAGTATTTAAAATACAAAATTACATGGTACAAAAATCATTCGTGGACTGCAGTACTTCCACACTATTTCTTCTAACACCTTTTGAGTCTGGGTTCTTGCCCTATTCCTCAGCCAGTACATCGGTGTGTTCAAAGATGTTTCAGTATGGTCAGCTCTGCCCCATGGGGTTCCTCCAGCAAACTGTCCTCTCACTACCCTGCCAGAAGCAACTTCTCCCACACAGCTGTGCCCTTTAAGCTGGGCTATCCCAGCTGGCAGAATCATTTCATTATTTCATTTGCTTAATACTACCACATGACATTCCTTATGCAATACTCCAAAATACCTCATTGGCTAATTTTCATCTTTACTTAAGCACTAATTATAAACAATTTTTTTTTAAAAAGGGCATTCTGGTGGGTGTCTGGTTTTTCCATAACATTTCCACCACCTTCAAAACCTTCAGTTTATGCTAGTTTCCCCTCTGTCAATGCCCACAGACACAGCTGCAGACTGCATACTCAAAGCTCTCTGTCCATATACTAATTTCTGGAGATGAGGGAATTGGAAAAGTTAGATTTGCTAATATTCCAACACGAAGATGTATGAGGCAGTCTCTTTCTGTATTTCAAGGTTCTAGCTGCTCTATCCTCAGCCAACACTAAAACATCCACAGTAGAGTGACTTGATGGCCATGTTAGCCTGTGCTTGTAGATACACTGCCTGCCACTGAGCTGCACTAAACCCTGACATTCTGCCTGCCTTGTGCTGGCGACAGTTGCTACCACCAGCCTCTTTGTAAGGACTGACTTCAACAGCTTTGCCTTTTTCCTGTTAGTGTTTCTGCAACCTATCTGAACTTGTAGCACACAACCAGCTCTTGGAAGAGCTTTACAAGTATGCAGAGAAAGCACTACACAGGCAGGGGAAATGCAGAAGAAGCACAACAGACAGAGGCAACACACAAAGCAGTAGCTTGGACCAGGAGGTGGTGATACAGGAGGAAAACAGGAGAATTTGAGAAACCCTCTTATCTGTGGAGGACTGGGAGAGGAAGGACCCAGCTCCTTTCCAGAAGAGCATTCTGCCAGGCAGATGACTGATGAAAGAGAGGCGGTCTTCCAGAAGCCAGCCCCAAGTCATGAGGAACTTTGGGGCTTTTGGCCACAAGACTGAAAGAGTGAAAAATGCAGTCCTGTGCTTTATGTACAAATCAGTTGAGGAAGGTGGTGGGAAGGAATGGGCTCTTCATCCTCATAGCAATTTAAATGCATTGTATTTTTAACCGCAAAGAAACTCCAGGAATTAATTTATCTCAAAAGGTTCCTGAATATCATGTTTAATATTAATTATTCAATTCTCAGCCTCCCAAGAACACTTTCATCTATAATAGCACATTTTCAGTTTCTTTTATTGGAAGTATTCTCCTGTTTTCCTAAATAAAATAGTCTATCTCAGAAGTAACATTATATTTACTACTGAGACAAGTGAAATCAGGGTTTCAAATAATGCCATTATAGAATACGTACCAATTTCATATAGTCAAATAAATAGTCTTTAAATTACAATTCATAACTATTTTCTATAATGAATACATAGTGATTACTGTATTTTCTTTATAGCATGTAAATGAGCAAGGCAGAAGAAAAGCTATTTTCAGAACTTCCTCATATATATTGTATTACTTTTATCACGTACCTCTGTCTTCTGTAGTTTCTTTCCACACAAAGAAAAGAAAAAGAAAGGAGTTATCAGTACATGTGCATAAGAGAAAAAAAAAAGGTATGCAGAATGAGATTTTTTGCTCAAAGTATTTCTACAGAAAACACTTTTAAAATAAACATACTCATAAGCATAGCAAATCAGACTAAATTAGGAAAATATATTAATGTTGATGGGTAAAGTCAGTGATGAGTTTGAGGTGCAGTTCATGATGAGTTTAAGCCTATTCACTGTGAAGCTGCTAGTGAAAGGTGCGCTCCTGCTCTTCATCTCCAAAAACTAATCCCACTGGCTAGAACTGAACTCAAAATGAGCTCTTAGCTTTTGGAGTTATACTCAAAATACAGTTCAGATTTTCAGACACTGCCAGAAGCTAAGGGTGATATACCAAGATAGCACAGTCTACCTTTTTACTATCCTAATCTTCATGCTTTTTTCCAAGTGCTTCTCTCCTTCACATATTTTTTGAGCTGCCCTCAGTGCACCTCAGCCTAGCAGACCAGCAGGGGATGTGTGAGTTTGTTATGACAAACCACTGGGGCTGGGTCCCAGCTACAGCACCGCCCACAGCTGAACCTGCCCTGCCCTCCAAGCATGTCAAGGACCTGTGGAAGAAGGACTTCAGAAGCCAGTCTCACCCAAATACAAAGTACCTTGGATCTTTTCTTAATACATGCAAAACCCCCGAGCTCCTCTGTTTTAGAAAAAAAATCACAAAAGGAGAAAAACTGAAAAAGATCGGTCAGGCTAAAATAATCTATTTTGCTTCTCAGTGAGTGGAACACTGACAGCTCTACATCAGGAGAGAACTTGCATTTTACTTGCAAATTACAGATGGATCTCTTTCTCTCTCTTATCAGAAAACATGCCTAAATTAATTTCAGGTTAAGCTGACTCAACATATACATCTGTTTAAGGAAGTCTATGGTTAAATGCTTTACTGAGTGACTGAAGTTTATCTTACTAAGTTTACTTTATCATTAGGAGAGACTTTTAATTGAACCAGACTGTATTCTTGTATTTCCTTTGTCAGATACAGTCAAATCATAATTCAGTCATATACAAAAAAAGAAAATAGCTAAGTAAGAAATAAATTTCAAGCCTGGATCAAGCTCTCCAAAATCAAATACACATGTAAGGGACTGCTTGAAAATTGCTAACACTATAAAAATGTCACTGTATAAATATAAAGCAATTTTGATTTTTTTTAGATTACATTTGACTTGTTCTTTTCACAACAGAATCAGCTATCAGATGAAATAAACATATTTTTAAATGTACTAAGAAGAACACGATTTACTTACTTGTAACCCCAACCAGTTATTCCTAAAACGAGAGCCAGCACTAAAATGGTGCCAGCAATAGCCCCTATTATTATATTTGTGCTAACAACACCTGGAAAAACAAGAAATAGGAAAAATACACAGGGTTTTAGGGGAAAAATATACAAAAACAGTAAATTCACTGTCTTTTAAAAAAATTCTTGGATAACTTGCACTAGGAAGATTAATTGTAAGCAGTGATATAATCTTGAAGTATAGCGTGAACATAAAATGACCATTTGTAAATCAGGCTTTGAGCTCTCTGTCCATTTTTTTTAAGTGAACACTTGCTACATGAGAAAGTTGTGCCAGCTATGCCAACATAATGACATCAATATTAAACTGCTGTAGCTTACATCCTTGCAAACACACACCCCCACCCCCCGCAAACACATGCTTATGCTGGAATAAAAGTTACTTTTGTTTAAGTTTTGCTAAAATTCCTTCCACAGTTGAATAAACTAGCCAAAAGAGACATTCTGGAAGATAGTAAAACTGCCCCCCCCCCCCAAAGACTTATAATAAAAAACATTAAACCCCCCCCATTTTTTCCCACAGTATATCATTTTCTTGTATGCAAGCTTAAAGACAAAAACAAAACAAAAACAAAAACAAAAACAAACAAACAAACAAAAAAAACTCCCACTCAAAAAATGCAAAAGCCTAAAATCTGTGTCCCAACATTCTGCACACTGGCCAAGTAATAAAAAATTGACTCTACAAATAAAAAACAGTTCTGTAAGTAACACTGCCTTTCCACCTAGACATGACAAGTCCTAATAACTTTTTGCTTGTCCTAATCTATCAATATATTTCATTAGGCCACTCAGATGACTGGGACAAGCAAGGTACAACCAGACACACTGGTACCAATCCCCAGAGGAGCACTGAGTGCTTGTGAGTGGCAGGCTCACACCAAGCCCCAGGTTTGTGACCTCATTCACAGACACTGGCTGCTTCTGCTGTGGAAGGAAGGCAAGGGAAAAAGGCTCCTAACGGTGTCTCATGTTGTATGATAATTGAAAGCTACAAGAACTAGTTTTGCTTAAAGAATCTTCTTCAAATCCAAGCTTTCCAGGTATTGGTAAAAATTATAACATACCTCTATTGATGCCATCTTTACCAAAAAATATATCATCTTTTATACGAGAACTGCAGTCATCTCCTCCCCAGAATCGGTCACAGACACACTTTATTTCATTGCTACAAACCTGCAGTCAAAAGTGCAGCTCAGAATAAAATAATAACATTAATCTATTCCTGCAATTAATACCTACAGTCTAGGTACAGTCATACAGCACTGATTTTGACTGTGTGCAAAATTTTGCAAAACATTTTTAACATACAGTGATTTTTAATTTATGTATTAGATATAAATGTATTATCATACTTTATATAAAATATATGTTAAGTATTAAGTACCTTAGTATCTTTTTAATGTAATATATCTTTAATAAAGCCACTTATAATTGCTTTGGGAGACTCTGAACCTAATTTTTTCTTTAATTATGATGAAGTGGTTCATTTCAGCTATAAACAGGAGTTTTAATGCAGTGTGAAAGACAAAAGACGTTATGAGAGAACAACTCCTTGGCTCTCAGCTCCGCTGCAGGGAACTGGACACCATTTCAAACTGTGTGAGGGACAAAGGAACACACCAGGGCCACAGAAAAGCCATAGGCTATGTACTAAGTGGAGAAGCTGCCATAAGCCAAAACCCAGCCCACTGCCCTCTTCTCTAGATCAAAGTAACTCTCAGCCAACAAAACCCAACAACTTTATGAACCTCCTTGGCTGTTGACACAATACAAAGTGAATTAAATAGAGCATCTGGAAGAACAGAAACCAAAGTTTCTCAATTCTTAGATCTTTATGTTCTCCAGTATGTTGCCTGAGGAAATCTCAATCAAGTTATCAGAAGTGATAGCAAAAGAATTTATTGACACAATTTTTGCAAAATTAATCCATGTTTACTGTGATTCATTGTTTAAGATGCCTTGACTGATACTTGTTATGTTTACTTATGTGCCTCCTCCCCCTTTCCTTTTCAAGAGCTTCTCCAGTATATAGACTTGCAGAATCAGGCTTCTGGCTTCCTGAAAAGTCTAGCTAGTATACTACACAATGCCAGATACTCTGCAAAAACATACGAAAGGATTAAAGAGCACAAGAACATACACCGTGTCCTGAACAAATCTGGCCGCCCGCGGTGCCTGGGCAGGTGCTGAAGTTGAAGGCCTCGGCGGGGAGGCAACGGTGCTCAAGGCACACCATGTTCGGCCCGCACGGCGTCCCGTTCTCCACATAGCCCAGGTCTGTCTCCTCATCCAGCTTCACGTGGCCACCGCTGCAAGACAACCAAAAGGGTCCCAGGGACTTGTGCTGTGATTAAATGGCACTGCTTAAGAAACCAGGCTCTAGGCTGCTGCCTTCACTTCTGTCTGCAGTGCCCAGGACCAGGAAAGAGTAAATATTGGCTTATTTATCTAGCTGGTCCTAGTGTGAAACAAACCAAGACACATAGTGTATCTACACCAAACAAATGTAATGGTGAAAACAAAGACCATTTTTCCTGTAAGGGCTAGTGTTGGATAAAACATTGAGTTTACTTGTGTAGGACTTCGTTTCATCTTACAGCTGTGTGAAGCTACAAGAACACACCAGGTCTATAACAGCTAACATACAGCAACATATTAAGCTGCCAGTTAGCTTTAGCAGTGCAGGCACACATCTGAATATTTTAAGCACGTTAAATAGTTCACAAACGTTCAAAGAATGTAAAAGCAAGAGGCCAGAGAAGAGCATTATGTCTCTACTGGCAACACTGACTACTACACCAGGGGGACTGTAAAACAGCTGCACCCCCCCAAGACAGTCAAGTTTCTGAAGCTCAATAAATGTTGAGCTGGAATATTAGTTATGTGTTAGTAAGAAAAAAAATCATAATGGAAAGAGCTGTTCTCCACTAAGGAATGAGAAAGCTGCGATTCCATGTAATATCCATGGATATTGATTGTCTCTGTTCTGTTTCCAGGATTTCCAATTACCTGCAGTTGTAGACTTTTCCAAACTGCAGAACTGATGATGTGATTTCACCATCAAGTTCTCCAAGTCTAGGCACACTGGATATATTGGAGCACAAAAGGTAACCACAAAGCACGTCTCTGCATTAAGAGAATAAACAGATACTCACTGAAGAGAAAATTCAAGGAAAATGGATGATCAAAAATGTGCATTTCTTCACTTGCTTTGTAACATGTTTGTTATTCCCTGCTTGTCTGCCGCTGACAGTAATTCCATAAATAATGTGTTTCCCAAGAAAACTGTTCTCCTTGGAGCACAGACTGGGAAAAGAGTCTAATTAAAGATTTATTATCAAAAATACTCTGAGCAATAGCAAGCAGGAAGCTGTCAAGAACAAACCACACCAAACTGCTTTAATATCCTATTAGGACAAAGTAACTGTCCCATAGAGAAGAAGCAATAGATACCGGTTTTAAACAAATTCTCAGATGACACATATGTAAGGGAACTAGAGACACCAAGGTAAATTCAGCTGTTGAAGGGACTTCACAACTTGTAAAACACACAAACTTGTGTGGGGAGACTTGTGCATTGTCTGACCTTTCCCATATTACGGAATATTTTCTACTTGTAAATTTGTACTGGAAAAAAAATGAGGTTATGAGATCTGCACAGAAATGTGGGAAAAGACATCAGTTCACCTCTAGGTAGGACTACAATGCAAATGACATTGACAGAATGGAGAAGTCATCTAGGAAACCAGAGTGCAGTTTGATGACAACTATCAAAAGGCTCACGAATATGCAGAAATAATCAACTGCATAAATACAGAATGTGCAACAATGGTTTAGGCAGCAACTTGTAGGAAAAGATGTGGAGGATTAAAATATGATGAAAACTGAACCTGTCTTAGCATTGCAATGGCACAGCATAAAAGGTGAACACCACACACTGAGACGTAAAACCATAGGCTGCTCTCCTCTGCTAAGCCTCACCAAGAACACCAGGACCACTTTTGGTCCAAATGCTCCTGCAGCTCAGACAGTGCTCTCTTGTCAGAAATCATCTCTTCTCAATACTTCTCTCCCTCCAAAACTTCCTGCACTATGGTCTGCTGAAGAAGGTCAGATGAAGTCTTTTCTGTACAAAGGCTTTTTGAGCCTCTTCATGTCAGCTAAAGAACTAGATCAGGGATAAAAATCTTATACCAGTTGTTTTCTATATGGATCAACTTACTGTTTATTGCACTGTATCCAAGAGTCCTTATCTCTTCCACAGTTTCCCTTCTCAGTCCCTTCAATATTCAGCTTTTCATAGCAGTACCTGTCAGCAGCTGTCACTTCTAAAAACAGAAACAAATCTCTTCTAAGATGATGAAGACTTCAAAAAGCCAGGTCCTCAGAAATGGCACTTTACAATCAGAGCGAGCAGAGCTTCCCAGTATGCAAACTACAGTATCAATGGTCTGCAAGTGGTCTGTGAAACTCTGCACAGTGTTCTCAGTGAAAAGCTTTATATTGGAAACACAGGACTGTTCTAAGATTTTGTGCAGATTGACCAAGATTTATTGGTCCAAAATGTCCATAGGACATAAATCAATTGGAGTACAGGCTCCCTAGATGGTTATTAATGAGAAGTTAAACCTAAGACTTCACAATAATCACCAGTAAGTTAACCAACACTAGAGAAAAACTGGAGAAGAGGATGGAAAGGCAAAATTAAGAGATAAAAGGGGGGGGGGACATACAGTCCTAGATGCTTTTAATGCTCCTGAATATGTCTCTTCCATAGTTTTTCTCAGCTAAGATAATCTTCCAAGCCACATGAACAAGAACCAACTTTGAAACAATAACACTCACTCACTTTCACCCCAGATATATTTACACTGGCGGTCCCTGGTTTTACATCTTCCTCCAAAACAAATACCCTAGAAAGAAAGGATACAGACAAATATCCTGATTTTCCAAAATATGCATTTGTTTAATACACAGATTTGTCACACGCTTTCTAATGAGGCAACTGTGATTCTATTTTCTGTTCATTTTAATGCTTAACTCCAAAATGTAACTAGCAATCAAAACACAAGAGTGTTAGCAGAACTGTCCCAGGTGACTTCCCAAGATCTTAAACCAAACTCTATAAAAAAAAAATAAATCCATAAAGCCAGAAAGAATGTAAAACAAATTGAAGTGCTAATTACCTGCTTGTTATCACACGAATAGCCATCCATTTTATGAATATTGGGAGAACACTACAGAAAGAGAAAAATAACTAATATATCACAGATCAGACAAGCATGGAAGCAAAGTATACAACAAAAGTGATATGGAAAATTAGTATTATGCTGGCTTATTCATTATCAGAAGGTTTAATACAATTTTTATACAATTTATACACAGAACAGTAACATTCATAGTGACTGAGAGACTACAGGTGGGGTTTTTTCACCTCTCGGATAGAACATATAGAAATCACCTGACTAGAATCTCCTGTGCAGTTTTCTGCAATATCACAATCATTCACTGCTTCTCGGCACAAAACTCCTTTAGGTTCAAACTGAAAAAAAAAAAAGACAGAAAAAAAGAGACAGAAAGTCAGTGTCTGTTTTTTCCATATCTTGCCTTAAAAGCAATGCTTCTTTAGAGTTTAAACTAAAATAAAAAATGGGAAATATTCATGTGCTGATTGAAGTAGGAAGACTTTCCTCTTCCTGATGCAGACATTACATCACCCAAGCCACAGCCCATTTACTGGTGCAAATTGTACTGCTCTTGGAGGCACACACTCCACGTGCATTGAACGTGGGGCCAAGCAGGGTAAGTGTTCTTCCAGGACACAGGACCCTTGGGATTGATCAAACCAATACTACAGTGGCTTGTAGCATTATCTTAATCAGGTCATTGCACCTTTTTGTGACTATTTTACTCTTTACAAAACAGGGAGAGTGATCCTGGTCTTCTCTCTAGGGATAAAGAACACTGCAAAGCTCTCAGTATAAACACTATGGCTATTACAACGTCTCCTTACTGCTGTAGAACAGAAACTATTAATAAATGTTCTGAATTCTGTACAGTTGGACATAATTTTCCAAGTGACCAGATACTTAACAATGAAAAATGTACCAGTGACCTAACATAGACATTTTGGTTAAAGACTTCTGTGCTCAAGATGTGCAAAAGCAAGAAGACATCCCATTAGCAGAAACTGTTAGTGCTTCTGGTCATGGACTGACTACACACCCCTTATTTTTCCTGAATTCCAATTCTGCCCTTCACTGGTACACGCTTGCCACTCTGTATGTAGATAAACCCTTGCCTCATTTGCAAAAATATTGTAGGTACACAGAAGCTTAATTATTCTCTTATAATATTTAATATGGCACCTGTGTGACTTGGAAACTTGAACAAAATTCACCCACACTGACAATTTGCTATTTTTTTAATATTACATTACAAAAAGGAATGTGCTTAGGGAAATGTGATCTGTTCCAGCTTAAGCTCTGCTTTTTCATTTTTCAACATTAGTATGAGCACAAAGTCAAGAATGTGATCCACAGTTATTACTAATGTTCCTCCTAAGGAAGTGAAAACCTCAAATGCCCACAAAGATAAAAATATCTCTCATAGTACTCCACACTTTTAGTAACATTAATTACCATAATAACTTAGTTAGTATAAACAACTATTTGAGTCATATTTAGCTGGGCTCCTTTACATCCAAGATCAGGCTAAACCTCCTTTTACTATCTACTAATGTATCAAGAAGACTACTTTATACTTTACATACAGGGCTTTACGCCCTTTACTCAATGGGATTTCAATCCATCCAAACACAAGGAGACACAGGCAGCCTAACTGAAACTGAAGTCAGGTATCTTCCAGAGGAACATTCTGAACAGTTCTGCTAGCTGTGTTGTTTTGGGGTTTTTGGGTTTTTTTTTTACTATATCCTTCTTTCAGGCCCCCTGTGGTATGATTTACCCATTCAGTCTCATGGAGTAAATCCAGAGCAACATGTAAGGCACTGGGAACAGCACAGGGGTAAGGATGTGGGTGTTTAAACAAGGACATCTAACAAAATCTCGTGGAACTTCAACCTAATTCAAGCTTCTCTGAGAGTAGAAAGCTTTCATTCAGCTCTGTATTTGATCACAGTCCGTGCCCCAGGAAGACAAGTCCAGCCTAAAAGACAGAGAATAGCCCCAGACAAACCAGAAAAGGAATCCCAATGTCTGCAAGGAAGACGAGGTGTTGTGGTGCCTGTAGGCACCTGGATGCACTCCCCCCAGGACGCTGGCGGGAAGGCCCCTGCCCTTACCCGGCACTTGCGACAGCAAAGCCCGTTGCTGCACTGGGAGCCTGCCGTCAGGGTGCAAGTACTGCAGCACTCTCCTCCCTCGCTGGCACACTCCTGGGGAACACACAGACAACAGAATGCACCCGCAAAGCAGAGGAACCACAAGCTCTCTTGTTAATTCTTGCCTTAGTATACTACCTGAACAGATTTTTAACCAGGCTTTTAGGCAGCTAGAGGTAGAAAAAGGCATGCGCTGTGGGGCACGAAGCTGCTGTTTTCTATGCAATATATGAGGTAATTTTTCTAACTTCACAGCACCAATTATTAAATAGGGAAATCTTAGCACTGACCAGAGTCGTATTTCCACCTAGGAAAATATTTCAACCATCTTTTAAGGCCTGATTCTGCACAGGTAGTTATTACTACTACTCCTCAGAATTTATGCAGTAATAAAGTAAAAAAAACTGGCCCATGTTGTGCTAAACATGACAGGAAAAGGTAAGAAATAGTGAATCCTTAGGCAAGATTAAGGTCCTGTGGCAGTCTACCTCCACTTAGCATTAATGGCAGTGATGAGCAGCACCATGTATTGGAGAATCTGGTTGCTTTAAAGTACTTTAAAGTTAAATGTACTTTAAAGCACATTGCACTTACCGCTATTGACCCACAGTCACACTCCTCTCCATCTTCCACAAAGCCATTGCCACATTCTGGCGGATCCAGAAGCTGTAGGGCAAAATCAGAAATCAAAGGGCATTTCTCTCCTAAGGGAATCATTGTCCTATTTACCCTGCACGTATTTCTTTAGCTAGCACTCCAAATGCATTAATGGAAAAACAGTACCCACAACTCGGGGAGAAGCACACTAGAAACAACACAAATTAAATGTGCAGAGAATGAACAATGCTGTTAATTAATTCAGCAACACTGCCGAGTCACATGGAGTCTTCTGTACATGAGTATCTCTCCTCATGAATGCATCACTCCAGAACTGACTTCCCTCTTTTACATCCGTGAGCACCTCAGCTAGAGTCTTTTTTCCCACACTGGACTGTCTTTCTGCCTTAGCCTCTTTCCTTTGCTTGGTGAAAGACAGCCATTGAATAGAAGATAACAGCACTTACACATAGAAAAGAGTCAAGATCATTATCCTGCTTAGGTTTTAACTCACGCTTCAGTAAGTGAAGCAGGGGTATACCAAAACCTTGCTGCAAATCCTCCATTGCACTTGCACCTTGGCTGGAGTTTCTTTAGCCTTCTTTTGTATTTAACTCCCTTAAATGTCTCAGTTAATCAGTTCATACTTTTTACATCCTTCATGTGAATATACCTGCTTAGCAGGCCAAAACTGAGATGAGGAGCAAAGAAAAGGTGAATACTCTCTCAAGAGGTACTCCTCACTTCCTGATTTCCAAGACTCATACATTAAGACCTCTGATTTCGTACTTTAGTGGCATGTTTGGAGGGGATAGGTCAGTCATTTTAAGTGGGTCCCAATGCCTTTGTAGGTCTCCTGTCCCCAAGCCTCTGAAGAAGCAATGCACTCTGCTAAATGATACGAGGTACAGTGGCACTGAGGACCAGGAGCCAGTGGGCACTCTCCAGTCTTTCCCATCTGAGTGCTACCCAGCACAAGGCAGGGCTGTGCAGACCTAACACAGGGCCAAGACGACCCAAGCACTTCTCACCACACACATTTCTCCCCCAGCACACAAAGTTCAGAGGATGAAAGGTCCTGGTGATAGTGACAGGGAATGTGGGCAGCACCTGTGGAATGAGGAGTGTGATGGGCACCAGCAGCCACAAGCTCTCCTAACATCTGTCCCTTACTCTTCAGGGTTTTCTCTTCTCTCTGCCTCTCACAGCCTTAGAAAAATGAAAAGCCACTGTAAAAACTTTGCCCTCTCTAAACAGGGAGATATCCCAACCACTTGTGACTGCTAGTGCCTGCAAAGCGCAGGGCTGCACGACTGTGCAACCCCTCCAGCGGCTCTAGGAGCTATGTCTTCATCTTGGCACAGATGTGAAATAAAAGCAATCTTACTTCATCTTCCAGAGATTTGTACCAAAAGGCATCCATTCAATGGAAATTAGAATTCAAGCCGTGCAAAATTTTACAAAGACACGTGATACCTCAGGAAATAAATTCAGCATCATATTGTATTTACAATATTCAGAACGAATTGCATGAGAGATGCTTCCAGAGCAAAGCCCATGGAAACTCTGCTGGACATGAAATAACTTATTAAAAATTTATTTAAATATAATTTCCAAACTATGATGAACTAAAATCAGCTACTTTCACTCACATGGTATCAGAGAATTTAGAACTTAGAGAGAGACAGAAATATGAAAATTACATGTGAAATTTTTTTCCAACATTATTGTTTCAATTCTTCTTGGTTTCATATAAATTAAAAATAGAATAGGAGTAATACTCAGTAATAAGGTAATGCTTACTTTGGTTGGTTTATTGAAAAGACAGGCTCCACCTCCACTGTTTAAAAATTCATGATACTCTTCAATATCACATTTGGAGAATTTGCTTGGAAGATAATACCTGCATGAAATAAGGTAGCAGGATTACTTTCTCGTTAGCTTTTTACACTGCATTTTCTTTTTTTCTAAAATAGGATAAATATAAAAATACGTTCAGAATTATATTATATATTATACGTCAGAAAAAGCACAAAACCACACTGTTCAGAATCAGAGTGGCTAAATATCTGCTTGTAACTCTAATTTATAAATCACTTTAATAAATGACTAAGAAATTCCAACCACATAGAGCTCATGGCAAGTGAGAGTTCTAAAACATTTCACTAAGTTATTTCATGCCAAGAACCACAAATCTTATCACAAACATGACCTGTTCCACTAATGGGCCTGATCTCAGAAATACAATTATTCCTGTTCACACTGCAGGAGACAAAGATTGCTCACAGTTCATTTCCTTTCAGATGAAATAGTTCTGGCCCACAGAATTTTTATATTATAGGCTTATGCCATTTTAAAACATGCTTCTAACAAACATCAGCTACCATTTCATCTTCCCTCTCTCATGTGTCCCACTGAATAAATAGAGTGTCAACCTAAGGCACAGTACACCAGCTAAAAACAATACTATGGAGAGATGGATCCATCTTTGCATGGATCCTTTCCACAGGGAAAGAATTCTTCCCAGTGTAACTTAAGTAATCTTTATATTTAGGTCCTTAGTCATGAAAGTACTTATGCTGCAAGCAGATTTTGGAGTCTCAAGGGCTTTCCTGTATCAGCTCATCACTGGATAAAAAAAAATTAGCAAAAGTGTTATATAAAATAATCCTGCATTGCCAGGACTGATGGCTTGCAAAACGTAATTGGGCTTTTCCATCTCTAGTGTTTATGATTTAGGTCTAAAGACTACAGAGAATGTGAGGTTTACGCACCTTCATCCATAAGCCAGGTAAAACAAGATTTTTTTGGTGTTTTCCAACAGAAATGCTGAAAATGAGACATACTTAAGAAATTCAATAATAAGATTTCAAGAATTAGGGTGTGTCATTGTTCTCACAACTCAATAGCAAACTTGCAGGAGAAAAGCTAAGCAGATTTCTGCTTCTTTGCAATGAACTGGGTTGGCTGTTGAGCACTGTTGAGTTTTGGCTATTGTTTGTGAGTTAAACCACGAGTCACCAAAAATCCTTGTATATCCTCTAATCAACTCACTTATTCTCACATTTCTTTGAAAGTGTCTTTTCTACACATGTTGTACAGGTAATACCTTACTTTCTGAAAAATGATTCACAGAAAATATTCTGCCAAACCATAGAAGGCAAGTGTCTTCATACACCTTTCCTTTTATGTCCCTGTAAGGACATGACTTTCCTCTAGTGAAATGCCTTACCCTGTGTCTCCCATTATGCATCCAGACCACGTGTCCTCACACTTACACTCACCTGATAATTAAAAAAAAAAATACATCTTGAGTCTTGTGAGTATAAAATAACACATTTCTTGTCACAAAACCCACACTGTAGTTAATTCCATTTCATATTTAAATACAAGTTGAAAATAACAATTTGCTGATTTATTGCACACCTTAGCTTAAGTGTATCAGTGCACACTGACAAACTTTCTTTCAAAAACTATACAAGATTCTAAGCAATCCTGAGCTTTGAAAATACATCTTGTTTTTCTCTCCTTCTCTTAAAGTGAAGTTAGGGGAAATTGCAGTGTCAGCCTCCAGCACTTGCAGATCATGAGTCAGCTCTCTTATCTTCTCCTGTGTCATGATATTTGATTCCCAAATTTTCAAAGTAAAAACAACTAACCATTTTAACCCTTCTGTTTTATTTAGTTCTTTTCTTCAGCTATGCTAATGTGAGTGGGGAAATCTTTGCTAGCAAAAAACCAAAAAAATCCCCAAAATAGTGTGTATAATAATGTGTATAAATATGCATTAAACGATCAATACACAGAAGCCAGGAGAGCAGGATTTAGCAGCTTCTCCCTCTGCCTGCCTCCCTTCCCCATTGAACTCCCTGGCAGGCAGGGGTCAGCTCTGCCTGCTGCCCTGCCAGTTTTTCTGGGATTGGGTTCCTCTGGTCTTAGCCCTCCCATTCCAACACTGTGTCTCGTGTCTATTTCTGTACACAGACTTTACATGTATATCATTTGCCTTTCTCTAAAACATCAGTTTATTGCTTCCATTTTAAAAGTACAGTTAAAGAGGAAACAAGGCTCTGTCCAACGGTTGCATTCTCCTCCCCACCCAGTGTCCTGCCCCTTTGCTTAGCCATAGGAAAGGGAATCACCACTGTTATAATATTCACTTTTAGCCTGCCCCTGTACCAGGTTAGTAATATGCCGTTGAAAAATTAATACTGACCATGTTAGTAGCATAGAGCATCCATTCCACATTTCTGAATATTTTTTTTTAAAAGTTACATAAACTGCAAAAGCCTTTACATGCAGATGTATCTCTACATTATATACTGCCTTTACAATGCCTGAAAACAAAACTCACCTAGGCAAATTTCTATCACTCAATACAGTGATTTTTTTTTTAATGTAAACCACATAAGTATGCACGATCCAACAACCAAGCACTCCAATTCATCATCTAAATTACTTCAAAACTGTATTATTGTTTTAATCACATCAAGCTGGGACTTCATGTAATGTGGAAGTTGGGAGGGTGAAGTGCTTGTTGCAGCTGGACAAAGATCTGAACTAAAGCACTGCAGTTAAACAGGGCTTACTAAGAAGTTGAATACCAAGGTTACAGCAGAGAAATGTAGCATAGCAAATGCAGTAGAGTAGCAAATCCAGGAGATTTAGGTACTATACAAGAGGAATTCAATCAAGGCAAGCAGGGGAAAAGCTGTTTTCAAAACCATCCTGCATAACAGTCTTGAGGTGGCTCCTCATCATCCTGAAGTCTAATAATGTATAGTTCTACTTTTGTGTACTAAGATGGCTGCCATTCAGTCTGTGGGTGAGACACTGATCTCCCTGAAATGAATGGAAGTGGCAGACACCTTTACGATTTTTTTTTTTAATGAAATGGTGACACCAGTGCTGACAGCAATTATGGGCAGGGGGATATCATGGCATTTAAATAGAAGAAAATTAATGATATGTCAGTTCCTTCCCATGTTATTACAAGTAAACTAAAAATTTTCCAACAATGTGAGAAATGTGGAAAAAATACATCAGAGAGACAGTGATAAGATTCTCCATCTTCTAAGATTTTTCTCTCCAATCAAAGTGAAAAAGCAAACAACCTTACCACTTATAAGTTTTCTTCTGTCTGAGAAAATGCCAATGTTTTGGGCCAAGGTCTGTGCCAGGGTAACTGCCATTAAGTCTGGCTTTCCAAACTGAAAGAAACAAGCAAGTAGGAAGAGTACTCAGTTACATACAGGCAAAATCAGATGCACAGAGTAGGTAGATAACAGACAAGTGAGGAAAACTAAATGCTGGCTTATGGACAAGTTAACTAAGAGAAAGTTTGTTTCTTGCCATTGTGGCTGCAAATATGAATAGCAGGATATTGCAGAATCTGCTGAAAAGTGTATTTGAATCCATATCTGACTTCTTTCACTCATCACTCTTCACTGATCCATCCCTTCTACAGAGCTGCACTAAAACACTTCATCAGCAAAGCAGCAGCATGGTATTTTGAAGAACATGACAAATTTGGTGCAGATAAATTTCCACCACTTTTTGCTCATACCAGTACCCCCACCTACCTCATTCACACCACCGCCTTTAAGCAAGGAGCAGATTCCACCAGTGTGGGCTATACCACTTCGACTGCTCTGAAACCGACTCCCCCTTTGACAAAAAGGAAAAGAAAAGAAAAGAAAGTTCACCCTGCTCAGTTCATGAGTTTTGCACCTATTCCAGTATTTACCCTTCTGATTTCCAAATGAGACACTGGCATTTGCAAATGCTAGTTGCCACCGCTACGCTGCAAACTATGCAAAAACAAAATGGGAAAAACTCACAAACCTCACATGACAAATTATCTCCAGAAAACGTACACAGTCTTCCCTCTTCTTTCTCAAACTGCCTAATGTAAGAAAGCGTGTTTTGCCAAGCCATCTCCTGGAATCTCACCACTCTTCTGTTCACTGACATACTACTGCAGCAAATGACTTCTGCTGGCAAGTGCTACAGACAGAGCGCAGGAGAGAGAGGTCACCATGGTGCCAGCAGAGGGAGACTAGTAAAACGACACATGTGTAACGGGGCTGTGCTGATGTGGTAAAACTCAAAGGGAGATGCATCAGCAGCTCTCTGATGCAGAGATAGGTGAAAACTCCCTGCAACTGCAGCTGATCTCATCCAAGGGACAGATGCTCTCTGAGCCTAAATCCAATCATCTCTCCAGTGTTGACTACATCAGCACGAATGACTGCCAGTTACTGCAGACAAAATACACTCTGCTCCATTTCAGAAGACTGATCATCCCAGCTGCAGCAAATTAGTTTATGTAAAGGAAAACAGAAAAACATCAATAAACAATACACTGAGCTAGCTGTGTCAAAGGTGGAATTTCATTTGTAACCACTGTACCATCACACTAGCCAACTTCACCTCCCAGCTTAGCTGTGTCCATTCACAGATTATTTCTAAACAATCTATGAATGCAATACCTCAGACACCACTGGTGGTGGTATGGACAGCACTGGAATTAGCATTAGAGTGGTATCCACAGTTCCAGTCACAGGGCAAACAGGGCTGGCCCTCTTTGTCCTGCTAATTCACAAAGAAAAAGACTTCCCCCAAAGACCTTACAATATCACCAGAGAAGACATGACAAATGTGAGAAAATCTGATTCCCATTTTACAGATGAAGAACTGAAACACAGAAACCAAAATCTTCAAAATCTGCACCCTTCACTTGCCAGTCTTACTAGTTCTTCTCATGGGAGAAATCGTTGACAGTAATTAAGCATGTGGAAAATTTCTGAGAGGGTGGATACTGGAGTGGGTATCCTGGCACCCTACCAGCATCATGTGAAAGTGATGTGTTTAGGTTAAGTTTATTTATATAGGCTCCTACAACAGTCAGCAAAGAGGGTGAAGGACTCCCAACAGAGCATTTCATCTGGCTCATCTCATATGGATCAAAAATCTCAGCCATGAATCTCTCCTCTATTTTTGTAGGTATATTTTATTATATCAACCTTCTTTACAAAACATTCAAGACATTTAGAGAAAATAACAGTCCTCCTAGCTTATTCTTCTTACAGCACATGTTTCTCTGGAGAAAAAACTGTTTCAAGGATCAGTAACCCTGCAGCATGCAGGTCCTTCAACAAAGTAAAGCAGGCCACTACACTTTTTGCACAAGAAATATCACTGTTTTTCAAACCAATGTTTTGCTTTTAAACATTACAGCAGGGCTCTCCGTGCTCTACTGCCCAAGAAGTCAACCTCCAAGGTGGAACCATGCATCACCTTCCAGGCAGCTGCACTTGCAGGGGAGGTAACTGCACAGAACAATGAAGGATTGCAGCGCATGCAGCTCAGGCTTAGTGTGTTAAAGCTAAAATGACACTCAAACTTCTAGTTGCAATGGCAGGCAGTTTGGGCATTAGCACTTTCCCACTTCCCCATCAGAAACATTTTCTGAATTATTGTGGACAACAAGCACAACAGAAAGGAGATGCATCAGCCACTTGTGATAAGCGACCCCCCGGGAAAGCAAAAAACCCAGCAATAAAAACATCACACAAAGTTACGTACGAAAAAAGGTGAACTGCGTCACTTTTCTCTCTGATAAAATCCCTCCTATATTTCATAAACTCACGTAGGGTCACCAAGGGATTTTCAGATATGGTGAACTTGTTATCAGTAGCCCAGGTTTCCATGGCAACCAACACTATCCTGGTGTTAAGTTGTTCTTTATATATCTAGTACATTAACAGAATGAACAAATATATTATGTCAAATAGAACAAAAGTGAGCTTTACTCCTTTTTGTAAGAGCTTGCATTTTTAAGTAAGTAAATATTTAGCTTGTTCTAGCACACTTCAGGTTCTCCCATGTGATTTTATCAACCTGAAAATCAACAAAGTAAAATTGAAATTTTAGGCCAGACTCCTCAATCAGCTCTCTCAGCCTGCAAAAAGATCCCTTGTAGGTCCTACTCAAGCAGCGGTGCAGAGAAGGGAGATGGGATTTTTGAAAAATTACAACAGAACCATTCAAATAGTTCAAAAATTTGGACTTAATGGGTCTTTTATAACATCCAGCTCATCCCAGTGACACACAAAGGCTCTCTTATACCAAATAGCAACCTATAAAACCAGTTTTCACTGTTATACACCTCTACAGGACTATTTAACCTCATGCCGGCTGAACCACAAGAAAAGGGCCATTCTTTCAATGATAAGGCATAACACTCCATACCAAATACTTTCAAGAGTGGGAACTGTGGGAACTCTTTATTTTTCTAGTAATACTTTTCTGGGGTGAGGTGCAAAAGCCAACAGCTCATATGATTTAGCATTACAAATATAATCCATATAAATGTCCCTATTCTAACTTATTTACTCAAATGCACTTTTTTCTGGAGAAATTTTACTCCATTCTCATTTAAGACTGTATTTTAGGTTTCAGGTTGTCAACACAGGGATTCTGTGTTAAAAATTGTTATCTCTAAGATGCTCTTTAAAACTCAGACTCAAGAGACTGATTCAGCAGACTACCTAAATGAAGCCACAAAAAGTCTCCAATGTCTTATGTTAGACAAAGTCTTTATAGGTGGCTGACTGGTTCAAGACAAAAATTTGTTATCTTCACATATGTTATTATTAGGTATACCATGAATTGACAACTCCTGCATCTATCGGCAGGAGACTCATACGACTCACACGTAAAAGAACTTTTAGTTCCGTGATACTTACTAAATCTGCCATGTTCACCACTGATTTAGCATAGCTGTTTGTATGGCCAACTGACAGGCGGTGCTTTTTACACTGTGAAACAAACAGAAACAAATTACACATACAGACCTCAAAAAATAAGCTCCATTTCTGAAAAGAAAAAGAGAAAAAAATCAAAGTAAAAAGCAGCTACATCATCAGTAAACCCCCTGTGCATGGTTTGGCCTCCCATGCTGAATGTAATGGTAATAAGCAGTAGCAAAAAATTGCTCAGAAATGCACATTACTAATATACCTTACTACAGCTGTTATTATCTATTAATTCCTGTCTGGAAAGTACTTTAAGTTCTTTATTGAAAAATGCTTTAGGAACAGGATCATATTGTTACTGTCTTCATTAACTTTATTATTGGCTTTTAAAGTTAATTCCAAATGCCAATACAGAAATCAGCAATAAAACTTCCATAGTTGAAAATCCTTTGTAAGTGTTACCCCAAATGCCTGCATCCATGTTTGAATCTATCGGACTTCCTATTTTTTTTCTCAGATCTCTCTCCTAAGCTGCCTCCTGGATTTCCTCATGTGCAATTTCACACTCCCATACTGCCATGGCAGTTCATTCAAATCACTTTAGCAATCAGCTGCAATCTGAAATCTGTAATGCAGTGCTATAAAATGACACTGAAGGTAGCTGTCCATGTACTCATATGCTCAGAAAAAAACCACTTATGAGTACCATGGATATGAAGGTTACAGGTAAGAATTTAGGACATAAGGGCCAAGATTTTTAGAAATGTTTCACCACCCTGTGCCCCATGGCACTTCATTTTGGAGTGCAAACTGTCCATATTTTCTGGAGGTTGGGATCTTTCAGTAGGCAAGAAATGCCCAGCAACTAGGCGATAGGAAAGGCATGCTTTCAAGGAGGAATGGGGAAAAAAAAACACCAAAAATTAAGAAGTTACACTTACTAAAAAAACCACGACAGAACTGCAAGACTAAAAATGGCAGAAAGAATGAAATGAAAAAGCTACAAAATGAATGGAAAATGAAGCACAGCAACAGGGGGAAGTGATTATACTACTAAAGTCTGTATTTGCAGCTAAACCTCAAAACTCCAGGATGCTGAGAGACACTGGAAGCCTATGGAACTGTTTTCAGTATACTGATTTATAAGCCCACTTCAATGTTTGGGTTTTAAAAGCTTTATCCCCCTATGGAAGCAATGGTTGGACAAGCAGCTGAGAGGGCAGACAGGAGGATGCCGCTCTCCTCACAGTGGCAAGCAGCCCAAGGGGGCTGGTGGGACACAGCCAGCTTGGCAGACCAGAGGAAGAACCACGAGGTTCATTTCTCCCTCTGGGAACAACATTTGGGGAGGTGAACAGCGAAAACAGCTCCAGTTCTGCAGGGTGTGAGCTCCGGGCTGAGTGCACCCAGAGTGTCACATCCAATGTACACAGAGCGAGTAATCCAAACACACACGCGGGCTAGCCCAGGACATGGGGAAAGGGAGGAGCCCAGAGCATGCCACACCTCCTTCTCCCAGGAGGACATTATTCAGCTTCTTTGACCATGGATGTTCACATGTATTTGCTTCAGAGAATAAATCCATAAATGGACTGACTCTCACAGTATCTATAACTAACCAAAATTAGGGAACATTGTCTTTGAAAGGTATCAGCCCAGAAAAATAAGGTCCTGTGGCAATAGTTGTGGCCTCAGATCTTCAGGAAGAAATTCAGTGACACAAATTTAGTGAATTCTGCATTGAGTATTGTACAGTTTAACTCAAGAATTTATTGCTATGCCCACCAAACTGAGCTGATGGAGGACTACGTTGTCCAAGGACAGTGGCACATTCCTTGTGCACTCTGATGTCTATTGTTGCTAGTTTGGGTATTGTTTAAGAGAAGCTGCATTTGCCAGAAAAAGGTAGATAAAAATGCGTAAATATATTTTCATTTTAAAGCCATAAAGGACCATAAATTCAACTAATATCACCAGTTGGAGGGGCACGACCAGTCTCTGAACTTTATCCAGTTACTTCAAGATTGAATCCTAATCCTTGTGTTTGACACCACCACACCTTCCAGAAACACACTGGATTTGAAGACTGCAAGTGACAGAGAATTCACCATCTCCTTTAATACTCCTTTCGTCAATTATTAATCATCTTCACTGACATAAATTCATGCCTTTTCCCTCTTGAATGAGCCTTGTTTTTTCTTCAGTGCCCTAATCTGTATTATGTATCTTTCCACTACGTTAAAGACCCTATTTATGTTCTCCCAGAAGAAGTACACAAGCTTAAAAAAATAATTTTCATCACATTGATTTGGGCCTACCAAAAAAAACTCTTCAATATTAATCTCATTGTCAAAAGCCGCTGCACAATTGCTATAACTGCATTATTCATTGCTGAGTGGCTGTAACTAAGAGAAGTACTCAAGAAAGCCAGAAAGAAAATCATCAGTTTAAATCACACTGACATTAGTTAGTTTATGACACAAAGCCTTAATCTCTGACCCTTTTCTTCTGATACTCAGGCCTGGTTGCATTCTTGGTGAAATTACCTTGCCAACATTCAGAAGCAACTTCATCAACGGTTAATGAGACCATAATCTGTTCTCTTCAGAACATACTGAATTTATTCTGGCCATATATTATACTTTATTGTTTGCCTTTATGGACCAATTGAGACAATTTGATGCTAAGAATAATTGTAAGATGCTGAAGTGTGTCAGTCTTACCATTAGATGATCATTTACAATCATTAACTCAATGTATTTTGTTTCCTCTTCAACTTTACGTGGAATCTGACGAACCTAAGGAGAGAGTACAACAGTAAGAGAGCCTAACAGAGTACAGAGAGAGTGGAATTGGGAACTAGAAATGGTTTCAGAAATCAAACTTGTCATGCATACATTTTTTCTATTGTCTTAATTCTTGTCTCGGATATTGATGAAGCTTCTGGTGCTTGGCTGCAACAGTAAAAAATTCTTTCACCTGCACCAGGACTTTTATATGACCTTAAACAATGAAATCAAGTCTTTCAACACATCTAATCCCAAGTGTACATCTTTCTTCAAAGATCAGTGGGGCCTGTATCTCTAAAAATGGCTTGTGTCAGCTCTAAACTTTTTTTTTTTTTCCAATGAGAAAGGGATCTCTCCTGAATTGTTTATTAAAAATCTCTGTAAGAATTCTATTATTTATTTGTACACTGCTCAATTCACACAGTGAACACAGTACTCACCTCTGTGTTATGCTTACTTTGCATTTAGAAGCATTTATGACTGTTATTCTCCATGGTGTCCTTCTTTTCCTGGATTTTCCAGGAGAGTTATTACATCGTTAGGATTTAAAAATGCAGAGTGATGGCTGATACACAGCAAGGCTGCAAACCACCTGATTTGACCACCTCTTAAGACCCTCATGAATGACTTCCTGAATTTCTCCAATGTTTTTCCTCACTTCTCTTTTGCCTCTGAGAGGTTTGTTTTAGATGAAGATGTTAAAGTCATCTTCCCCTCTCACTGCTCTCAGTGATTTTTCTCTTCACTGTTAAGACCCCCTGACCCAGCTCTGTTTTGACCTGTACCACCATTTGAGCTGCATTCCTAAAAATGCAAAGAATTGCTGCTGTTTTCCAGGGAACAGACAAACGTTTGCATTTAATGGCTCCCCCACTTTAACAAACAGGGAATGAACTCTCAGTTTAGAATAGTTATTTTATATCCAAATCAAGTGAGATAAAGTAACTACTTGTCACCACTGGAACATAAAAAAATATTTGTAAATGTCTCATTAATTGGGAGTTTCTGATAATAACCTATACTCAAAATGAAGGAAAATACTTTAGTTACATTTTTATCTGCAATTTAGAATTGTTTAGTAATTTTATAACACTTCAGCTAGGCAATGTCCAAGAGAACCCAATAACGTTTTGTCAGCGTTAGATACCTCTTCTTGTAATAGCCGTATTGATATTGATATATTGAATAGCTTGTATCTGGACAAGGCAATTCAGCAAACACAAACCAAACTCAATGGCATATTACGTACAAACAAGCATATTGGCACATACCTGCCTTTTACTTCTTTTGTGTCTTGGCTTTACAACAAACATCTGTGACGTGGTATTCATTTGTGAAAACTCTAAGCAGAAAACAGGCAAATAGATTAAATGTTTACAAGCATATAGCCCAACAACTGGGGACTGTGATGCCACATGACAGTAGCGTGGCATTCTTCCACATGCCTCAATTCATTTTTTCAAGTTTCCAGCTAGAAAGGAGGCAAGATTACAGATCCTTCTCAGTAACAGAGTTCTTATTGAAGACCCTATTAGTGATAATTTGGGTCTGCTGAAACAGATGATCTGTTGGTGTCATGCTTCGGAAAGCACAACAGATGTTCTGCACCAAAATTTCACCAACACTGGTTATGTAATAGTATTAGCACAGTGCTTCCATGAAGTGAATCACAATTTCAGGAACTCAGTAGACCTTCACAGAGCTCTTGCAATAGCTACCTAACTTAATAAGAAGAGCATGGAAGGCAGAATTAATGCTTTAAGACAATTATATTCACAAAGTAAAATATGTTATAGGTGGGAGAAACCTTACGAGATTTTGGCAATGCTCACTATCAATACAATATTCCTTCCCACTAATCCCACTCTGTTTTTAATTTCTTAAATTTAACTTTAATTTCTTGAATTCTTAAATCATAAGCACCAAGTACTTTATTCTTTTGCCAAATCCCTTTCACCCAATCTATTATTAGCTACTCATGGAAAGGGACACATTATAAACTAAGCAGGAGACAATACTTGCTCTCACCCCTTTAAATATCTAAAACCTGTTTTTGCAGCTTTAATTTTAGAACGATAGTCCCTGCCTTGCTTTTCCCTATACAACGGAAAACTCTTTCCTTATCTTGTATAAGCCTGTTTACTATTCACATAACCCCAAGAAGATCCGTTTTTTGAGACATGCAAATTAAATGTTTGCAGTTGCTTATTTTGTAATATGTCTTCTTCCTATGACTACTTTCTCTCCTTTGTGCTTTCTGCAGCTTTGGACTTTTCAGTCTCCAAGACCTGAAAAATACTTTCAGTATTCCAGAGTAATTTTACCAGTTCTGAAGAGAAGTAGTCAGTACTACAGAAGCTGTATAAGTTAAGGGACTTTCTATTCACATACCTTTGTACACAATTTTAGGATGTGTTACAAAATCCTGAACAGTTCATTTTGGCTGGTGAGACAGGAAAGTTTCTCAAAGCTCCACCTCCCACCTGCTGTACATTAACTGTGCAATTTCTGCGTGAGATTCAAACAACAGAATTCAAAACAATGCTGATAGGAATTTGACTGGGCTGCCGTATCAGCAAAACCTTAAAACATGAAGCTGAATTGCCCATCTGACAAAGCACTGCCAGGACTAAGTGCTAATCTTAACTAGGAGTGGCTAGTTACTGGTAAGACAAACCAGGAAAGCAAAGCATGACTAACTGGTATTGTCTTCGCTAAATCTTGGGGATTATACCGTCACTTTTGTATGTGAAATTTGCACATATAATTTTTTGGAGGGGCCTGGACAGTTATAGACCCTTTGCTTAAAAATGTTTTCATGGTTACATCAGTGTACTTGAGGATTTTCTTTACAAAAAGGACCTAAAATAAAATAAATCACATCCAAGGGTCTCTATTTATTGCTTAATGACCTGCAGTCTCTAGAGCTCACAATGATAAGAAACTAAATCTTGAACATATTTTTACAAATTTGTTTTGGATTATGCTTTACATATGCTGATTAATTTAGCCTGTGTTCTAGTGCCACACAACTAGGTCCCAATCTGTCATTTTAGGTTTTATATCATGGTTAATAAAACTGGTAAAAACATAACTTTTCAATCAATAAAATAATAATTTACAATATGTATACAGTATCTCAGCTAACTTTACCAGTAAATGTGATTCTTTTACCCACCATCGGAAGTCAGTCGTCTCTAGAGGGGAATGATGCAGCCATTAACGTTAACACATTAACACACATTCACCCTTGTGCTGTAATTCACAAGCTGGATGAACTCATGCAGGGTGCATTTCCAGCCAGGGACCCTCAGGCAAAAGAACAAGACCAGCAAAATCACAGGAAATGCAGATAGCTGTGAAAGCCTAGCAGAAATTTTAATGGGAATATATTACTTTGGAAAAGTGTAATAATTCAATCATTTAAGTTGGAAAAGACCTTTAAGAGCATCAAGTCCAACCATAAACCTAACACTGCCACATCCCACTCAACCATGCCCCTAAGTGCTAAATCTACACTCCTTTCAAGTGACCTCAAGAGAAAAGCACATCTGTTATGCATTATTTGAAAACACCTCCAATAACAGTGTCGACTAAGACCATGCCAGGGCACTGTATGCCTCAGCACAGACTGTGAGAAAAAAATGGTCTACGAAATTATGAAGTCAAATGCTCTAAGCATGCCAAGTCATCCATTCAAGCTTTCCATATTCAAAGTTCTCAGACCATTGCAAAGCACAGTACAATTAATTTTTTTCTGCAATAGCTTTCTTTTTTTTTTTTAATACACAAGGAGGAGAAGAATGTAAAAAACACACTGCTATCAAACTGTGGTACAATAGTGTGTGCTTTTACAATAACTGATACTGAATAATCCCTATTACTTCTTTTTCCCTTTTCTAACATCATTACTGAAACTGAGGATATATCCAGTCCATTCCTAACACAGTGCTGAGTGGAAATCTTAGCTTACACATTTTTTTTGTCTTTTAAAGATAAGAAGAAAATCATGACATCAAGGAAGATCTCCTGGGGCTGGGCAAATCAGTAAATTACAACAGTAATAAGGAATATATGAAATACTGATGACATAACCTAGCACAGGTCTTGCTACTACTACTAATGATTCGGCTGTAGTACTTTGATAATAGTATTGTAGTGTTTTGGTTTTTTTTTTTAATTAATTGCAAAAACTGTTTAAAGAAAAATAAAAAGTCAAGACAACAGCCAACACTCCCTAGACTGGCAGGGAAACAGCACCAAGCAGAGACACTGGTGGGGCAGCATGTGGGAGGAGAGAAAGAGGAGGAGGGGTAGGGTGTGCAGCAGTTTGGAGGATGAATGATAGAGCTCCTGTAAGCACAGGGAAAAGGGTGAGGCAGCAGAGGGTGGTGCAGACTGCTCCCATCCTCTGGAGCTGTGGCTATGCATGGAGGATGGCTTAAAGACAGAGACAAATGGAATAATCACAGACAAAGAAAAATTACAGGATTCCTAACAAGGACATAACCTATTACATCTATTGACACATTCACTACAAACCTCAGAAACACCTTTCCAAACAGTTTTACAAAACAAATACGGGCAAGTGGGAGAAAAGACTGCGAGTTACAGTTCGTTTCTCCACATACGGGCTCCTAACCATACATGGATAGAACATTAGCAACTTACACCTCCTATCCACATGACAAGTATTTGTATAATTAAGACCACCAGCACTCCACAGTTAAATCTTCTTTTAAACCTACTCTACAATCTTGTGATTCTAATTCAATCTGATGGCAACATCTTCCATTATGTCATATGGCAGGCTTCATACAGAAAAGCCAACAACTACTTATCTACAGTAAAATCACAACTGCACAAGCATATCTGGATTTTTGTGAAAAAAAAAAAATCTGAAGCCCTATTTTAACAGGTTTTTTTTGAAAATCAGGAAGCTTTGGTGGAGATGACACTGGTAGGCTATACTTGCAATTAATTCCTTTTCATAATTTTTAAAAGCAGAAAATAATTTTATTCCAAAATCTTGAAAACACAAAATTTCATTATTAGGAAATCTTGATTTCCTAGTTGTTGATTTCATTATTAGGAAATCTAAGATGCCTCATAGACATCTGCTAAGTACCAGCTCTAGCAGTCTCCTACTTTAAGAACCTGAGACAGAAGACTTATTTTAAACTAATCAGCAGTTGCATTATTTACAACCTTTCAAATGACACATCCTCAAGAAAGTATTATTTGTCCTTATGTTCAATAAATTGTTCCCATTACACCACCATCTCCACAAGTCCAGGGAGTAACCATGGTACGTGTGCAAGGTGCACATACACAGGGAGCTTCATGACAAAGAAGCAGACGTCTTGCACCACATGAGCCTCTTGTGCTACGCCTCCATCCTAATGCCTCTTCCACTTCGCCTGGGCAAGCACCAGAGAAGGACATGAGGGACCAAGCTGGGATACTGTTTTGTTTAGACTCAGAAAGACTCCTTCATCAGAAGTAAAATCAAGGTGACCCAATTGTAGCAATTTCCCTTGTTTGTTTGTTTGTTTCTCATTAGCTCTCTAAATGATTGTACTTTGCTTAAGAACTATCAAACCTGCACACACTGTGCTCCAGTGAAGGATCCATCTATGTGCAGTACCCAGCACTGCAAGATCCCAGGTCCAATTGCTACCATAGGACAAATGGTTTGTAACAAGATGACCAGAAATCCGCAACTCTCCTGAAGAAATCAGTTTAGAGGTGGTTTCTACCAAAATGAGTATCTATGAAGGACAGTTTTATTTACCTAGAATTCATTTTGTAGAGTAGCAAAATGCATCTGTAAAATTGGCAAGTCTTCGACAGAATGAGAATATGCCATAAATACTGCAATTCTAGCTCAAATTAACAAGCTAGCTTCTCAGATGAAAATTCATTTTTTAAAAAACCTCTTCTCCCTCCACACACAGTGTAAATTGTTTGTGGACAGTCATCACTACAAACACTTGAAACTACTTCTGCCTCCAAATTAATTTGTACTGAAATGCATGACTTGCACTACAGTCAGTACTGTGAAAGATGCTGAACAGACTAGAGATGAGAAAGCCACTGAACAGTAACAACATTGGGCAAGTTCTTGTTTCTCAGGCTTATGCTCACACTATGGTATTCACCCTTTATCTCAAAACCAGAAAAATCCAGGAGGTGTTAACCACTGGCAATTCAGGGGGTTATTTTTGTTATCCTTAGGCTACCTCAGTCTTTTCCTTTCTACAACTACTAGCATATAATGCACCTATAGACCACACGAGCTGCTAAGGGAAACCTACGTCGCAACGTGAAGGTCTAGGATTCATTGAATTCAGGTTTTTTTTTCATTGCTTCAGGTTCTTTTTCCGTGCTTTCAGTGTTTCAGGTATTTTTTTTCAGAACTTTTTTATTTCATTGGGAAAAATAAGAGATATACAAATATAAAATACAATATTATCTATCAAATATGATTAACAAATTTGGCCTTAGACTAAAACAAGTCAGTAAGTCATGAATATTAAAAAATCATACCAGATGGCAGGTCATCCAAAGGAAACTGAAACAACTTGGATTTGTAAACAGAGTGGAAATAGAAGTCATCCTGAAACAGTAAATATTTGCATGTATTAAGCCTAGATAAACTCATTGACCACACAAGCATTAAACAGTTCCAAAGGCCCTTGTTATCTAACAAGTACACTAGTGGGCATGCAAGTTGCAAGGCACCTTTACTCTAGGCTCTTCTCTGTTTCCCAGCTGTGGTATGATTGCTAATATATATACCACTGACTGATTTTTTTGAGGTCTAATTTGTCTGTGATGATGGGAATTCACGTAGGAGGTAAATGAGTTGCAATGAGAGTATAACTCTTTGGTCCCGGAGCCTTATGCCTACCCTGTACCCACGTTCAACAAACAACACAGGAGGACTAGCATAAGTTCTACTTACATCTGAAGTGTAGTTTTCATCTGGCTCAATAAGGTAAGTATGATTTCCATCATAGAACATCCCACTGTCAAGAGCAGGAAATGTAAATACCAATTTAATAAACCAATACTAGTGTAACAGGAAAGTAAGTTTAAGAAATTAATATAGTTTTTTAAAACAAATATTTAGAAAAGGAAGTAGTTAAAAATGGTTTCAGGAGCTGAATGTAATTCTCAGTCAGTCTTTTGTTTCTTCACTTCAGAAAGGAATATATTTTCTCCCATGGTGACACAGACTCTTCTTTCCTCTCCAAATATTCTCTACAACACATATAAACACCACAAAAATAGGCTAATTTAGCCAACTGAAAACTCCCATTCAGAGCCTCCACTCCCATACAAGAGAGACCTTCCTCCAACAGATAAATAAGGGACCTGTCTTTAGTTACACATGAATCTGGAATACGCATACAGCTTTACCCTAAATAAAAATACTATCGTGTTGAACTGATCCTTAGATTTTAAAGGTTTTAACTCTTTCCTCAGTAAGTTCATATAGTACCAAGTACGAAGGGCAAAACCGGCTCTCTTGGGCATAGAAGGTTGCTTTGGACATTTCAGAAATAACAGTTCTGACAGAAGGTCTTTTTAATTTGAGTTTAAGTTTATATTTCTAGGAAACATTAATGGGTACATACATTACCATATCAATATGGACATTGTATTATGTTCATGATAAGGAGACAGGAAACCCCATCAGACCAGCTTCTACTAGGTGGTGGCGAAAAGAGATACAGAGAACCAAGCCCTCTGCCATACCCATGGTTCTGGAAAAGTATTCGAGGTCTTTCTTAATGGCACAAAATCTTCTCAACCACAGAAATTTGAAGGCCATTCATGATAAGCACAGTGCTATGTATCTCAGAAAATCATTTTGCTTGTCCACGTACAATCACAGATCTTCCACATTAAATTCCAACACAGTTCAACTCTAAATGAAGAACAAACTGAACTGTTAAGGCTCTCTAATGGACGAAGATAGTGCTTCTGCATAATCACTCAAATGTACAGTGAAGGTGAGGTCCACTCCTACAAGCATATTTTCTATTAAGAGTTACCTTACTTTTACTTAGATAAGAAGTGTACTGAGGTTTAGTCTTTAATATAAAGCAGAATGCACAAGTGTGGTTGAATTGCACCTTAGAAAAAAGTGTTGCTACAGACACTATTCAGTAAGAGCATAAAATCAAGAGTGTTTCTTGTATCACTACCATTCTGATAACTGAATCACCTTTATTTTTTTTAATAATTTTGTCTTTATTGCAATGGCATACATGCGTGGTTAGGTTAGGCTGTATCAGCATGTCCCTTTCAAAGTGCTACTACTAAGGGCTTTATGCTTGGCCATAAATATGGCCCAGTCTCTAAGGTCAAACTTGGCACATACTACACAGCAGCATCAAAGCAAGATTATTTATTTATTTATTTAGATTACTCTTTAGCAAACTTCTAGGCATCAAAAAAACCCCAACAGGATCACAAGCAACAAAACCATGTACTTTTCTTTTTTCTTATGCAGCTTTTTGGGTTTTTAATCAGCAAAACTGATTTTGGTTCTGAAGATGCAGAACAAAATAGACCAGATGCAGTCAGTAAAATACTGTCATTCTTTTCTGGACTACTGAAAAAAAAGAACATATAATAAGCTTGTAAACCATTATAGGTTGATGAGCACACTTCACTTAGTATCATTCACTTAACCATGTAGTGTTCACAGAGAAGTAGCTTCAGATACTGACTGTATAACATGCACCAAATGTGATCATGAGTCTATCTACATAAATAATTAGATATCTACATGTCTAATTAAAGCCGTTTCACCTCTCAAGTTACTTGTGCCTATCCTTTAGAAATAAATACTGTCTCCATAGCTTAAGATAAATATTCCAGAACCTACTGAAGGTTCTCTGCCTGAGAAAATCCTGAGATTTGGAAACATCCTGCAGCTCATAATCAGGCAAAACTTCCTCCCCCCTCACAGCAATTTTACTTCAGCACAGTCTGCAAGATGAAGCACTACCAGCAAGCAGCTTCTCATGCGACTGTTGCACCCACCAGTACTGACCTCTGACCAAGTCACTCAACAATGACAAGAGTAATAGTCACGGCTGACCTGCAGGTCTGACTTTGCCCTCTCAAAGCCTTCATGTCTCTTTTCCAACCAACTTCAACAGTCCAGTGCTCCGTGCACAAATCTCATCCTCATGGATGTGTTAGAGAAAAAGCAATGCCAAAACACAGGTCATTTCAAAAGCCTGAATTTTGATTAGCTATATTCTTCAAACAAAAAATAAATATGTAGTGGTGAAAGTTTGATCTGCAGTAACAGCAGTTTTTGTCTTCACCACCAGTGGGCACCAAAATCATAGACCAACCTGGTGTATGTGCAACTCGCCCTGAAACAGGATCCACGGCGTGCCTGGCTAGAGCTTATTTATCTCCCAGCAACCAGTGTGTTTCCCATTCAAAGTTTTTTGTGTTAACTCATAGGAAACACTGGTTACTGCATATCCCACAGAAAGAAAACAAAAAGATACCAAACAAAATAGCTTGCTCAGACTTAAGGTTGCAGAGGTACATTTATCATTAGCAAAGTCATGAAGAGAAGAAATTAACGATTTTAAGTATTCTGTCAACCAGTCATCCAATTCATTTAACTAACAGAGGAAAACCACAACTTAGACATTACCAACAGAAGAACTCATAATTTATGATTAAAACCCCCACTTTTTCTTAGAGGTACGAAAGATTCTGCTGTTACTGGCCAAAATGTAGGAGTACTAATAAGTAAGAGAGGAAGTTAGCATGAACTTTGGGAATATGAAGATTATTATTCTATTAAATGCATCTGTTCTGTCTTAGGAACTTCCTAAAATTCATGAAAGCAAAGTTCCTGCCCTGTAAACCTCATTAGAAGGTAAGTCTCCCCAGTTTCCCTTACTCCAGAGAGCTGCTCCAAACCGTGGCTGGAGTTAAGGAGCTCCGATTGCTGGTGTGAATTTCTAGTAATTACTTTGCATGTAAAATCCAATGTAGAGGAGCTAGTTGTAATGATGGAAATGCAGTGTCAGAGAATAGGAGTTTACTACATCTTAGGAAAATATTACTTCTCACATTGGATGCTGGGATTACCAGCCTTCTATAGTTAGCTTCATATCGCATCTTGTGTGAAAGATAACTTTGCTGAAACTTTATTGTAACAGAGAAAAAAAAAAAAAAAGGCAAACAAACAAAAAGACATCTCAAGGGAAAGCAAAATTATAGAGGGGGAAAAAAATTAATCTTTCGTCACATAACTGTGTTAGAAGGGACTAATTTGAGTTTCAGGCAATCTAAGAATACAGAGCAGCAGAGGGGTCAATCTTAGGTACAAACCCACAAAAGGAGAGCAGGAAAGGCCATTTGCAGCCTCTCCATCCTTTCTGCTTTTTCTCCTAGGAGTTAGCAAGGACCAAGACCTCATAGATCACTGCTAATGGAAGCCATGCAGTGGCTCAGGATGCATTAGGATGCTACTATTTTTAGGCTCACTGTCCATACTGAAACTGGGCTCAGGTTTTTTGAGCTGTTCAATCTTGGTCATAAAAGAGATAAACACAGCTGTAAATCAGACAAGTGCAAGGATGACAAGTCTTCTGCAGGTATTCTCATTTCCTAACAAAGATTATACAAACATAAAAGAAAGACACCGCTTAAATATGTGTACTTAAATGTCTGATACTGAACCTATAGAATAGTTTGAGACAGACAATAAGCTGAAGATTTCCATCAGCTAAGCCCTGCTTCCTCAGAAAAAGGCAGAGCTCAGGTGATCTCCACACAGGCTCGCTTGCAGCCATGACTTTTCAAGCTGACCTCAGTATCAAAAGCAGTGAGATCCCTTAATTCCCAGATTTAACAGATACTGAAAATACTTAGTTGCTCTGAAAACCTGGCTAACATCTTTAAATAGTGCCAAAAGCAGACAGGTACAAAAGCTGTACAATCAACACACAGCTCCACGTAACATTCAGGTGACGGACGTTTTAATTACATTATCATTAAAATTATGTACTTTGGAAAAATATATTGCACAATTTTATTTCCTACAAGATTTTACTGTATCGAAGGTATTATCCCATGCACACAGCCTAAGGCCAGCAATTCTTTGAAGAAAATGGATACAACAAGAGAAACTCTAACCTGACATGTTTCTTTTCTACTCTTTACAAAGGAAGATAAAATACATCATTGTAGCAACAAGAAAAGAACACCATTTCCAAATCGTTCATGTCAATACAGGCAGCCTTTTTTATTCTTGTACAATTGGATATTTTCAGCTATCTCTATAATAAATTCTCTTAAAACAATACCTAGCCTCTGTCATATGCCCTGAGTTTGTTCTGTTTTTTTTTTTTTGGTTGGTTTGTTTGTTTGGGTTTTTTAAAAATAAAAATAAACTTGAGTACTTTTATCAGGGAATTCTGAAAACAAACAAACACGGCTTTTGCAAAGTTCAAATTAAACATGTTTTTTCCAAAAAATTGTTTAGTAATAAATATTGGTGACAAACCCATAATAAAATAAATAGCACTTATTTTACGATAAACAGCTTTATTCTGCTTAAAAGACTAAGAAGGAAAAGCCAGTTAAAAACCAGCACTTACTGTAATCCATGGCATGTTGACAAGGCAACAAATGATACAGGATTTCCTCGAATTTCTCCCTGATAATAGCAATGTTCTCCTCCCTGAAACAGGAAATTGAGACTGAAAATCCACAGGACATGCCACAGTACCACACTTCATCCTGTCAAACAATGCTTTTTCATAAATACATTGCCAATCGACAGACATGGCACCAAGAATAGACAATCCCTCACAAGGATGTACATCCCATCTCCTTTTAGCCATGGTTTGCAACCCAGACAAATATCATCATTTTGACTCTACACAAAAAGATGGCAATTCAGTGTGAAATCCCTGGCATCCTGAGACAGATTTCAGAGACAAATGACTCCAGAAGCATTGATCTTTCTTCATTGACTAAGAAGAGTTGGAAACAGGGGGCTTAGATGCAACACCTGGCCTGCACATGGCTACATCAGACGAGATGAACTCTGCTCTGAGGGTAAGGCAACTTCTTACTTCTGAGGAGAAAGGTAAACCTTTAGGATAACCAAGCAGTAAAGGAATACAATGAAAATTAGCATTTGCCCCTTCTTTTTCTGCAAAATATACACCTTTCTAATCAAATCCAGCAGACCTTCCTCAAAACATCCCCCCCTTAGTTTCACAGAAGTCACACCGACAGAGAAGTAAGTTCTAATGCACATGCACTATACATATCCAGTATTGTACAATGTCAATATTTGTATGCAAAAGTAGAAAAACAATTCAAACATCCCTTAAATTCTCACTGCTACTTTACTCTGCAGAGGAACTTACCTGTTACTGCCTTACTAAATTCATTATATAGTGGTAGGTTTGTGTTTTGATCAGGGAATCCTGTTCTGTTTTCTACAAGGTGTGCAAAGTGTTTTTGAAAGCAACTACAGAGTGTGGGTGCCTGTTTTGTGGTGCTCACCTTAAGAGACTATATGAGCCTGTTTGTCAGAGAGTGGCTGCCCTCAGAGAAAGAGACCTGATCTCAGCCTGGTCACTGGAAATCATTAGTTACTCCTCAAGACCTTCTCTGGAGCATTCATGCATGCCATGCTGCTGTTGGACCCCAAAGCACTCAGTGCAGCACACGTGGGGGCAGCTCTCAGCTGCCAGGACCAGCAACCCCAGCGCTACAGAGAAATGCAAAGCTGACCTGACAGACTGACACTAGTTGGCAATCTTATTGCTTCACTCTGCAAGGAGAATTCCTGTGGCATATCTTACATTAAAAGTGTTACTCTTTTTTTTTTTCCCCCCAATTTCTTTCAACTTCATTATTTCCTCTGTTCTACATATCATTTCTTCCTTCCACTTGTTGCAGTGACAGCAGCCATCTCCACTGCCTATTCACCTCAGTGTCTTTCTGTCTGGTAGAGATACAGAACACCTTCCTCAAACTGACCTGCAGAGTGACCTGCAGAGGTTTTTGGTTTTTTTTTCTGAAACCTTAGCTCATTTCCTCTATTTTATTCTCCCTTTTTTACACCTACTTACTTCCTATAGCTTAGTTACTTTAAGCTCTCTTGATGTGACATTATCTTTCTTTCTGTCTGTAGGATATTCCCCACTAATAGATCACAGTACTGCTTAAGGCTTTCAGGTCTTTCTGGAATATACAGATAAAAGGTAAACCAAAGAGGGACTCCAGTAAGCTAATAACAAAACTAACAAACTATATGGATGAGCTAAAACCTTACGAGTAATAATTTGCTCTTGCAACAGTATTCCTGTAAAAGATGTAACTGCAGTAAGCACATGAATATGGGAATAATATTGAAAAAGACTATCAGCAGGGAGTTTCACAGAGTTCTAGCTGTGGAAGGAATTTGGAGTAATTAGACAAATTGGTTTGTTCTCAGAAAATGTAAATATGTACCAGAAGTAGAATCTTAGGCTTCGTAAGTTTGCTAAACCATGTCTTTGTAACCCAGAGGAGCATTTTTTCATACTAAGATTCCAAGTCTGTGGCTTGAAAGTGTGTTCTGATCTTCTTAATGAGGATAAAATAAATGCCCCATGATAGTATCTCCAAATTACTTTATTCCATAATAAATACATGAACAAGTTTTTATGCATACAGATCTGGAAAAGGAAAATGTAAGAAAAAAAAACTCCAAAGTCTCACCCGGAAAAACATCAACTTTTTGGGGTTTTTTTGAAACACACGACTCCTACTCAATCAATCTACTGAAGGTCACAGTAATTCTGGTGGAGACAGAAATATAACTCTGATCTTCTCAGTCTCAGGGACCTATTCTTGCCACTAAAAAACAATTATTTCTATATGTTAATGTCTGGGGGATATTTTCTTACACACACTCATCAGTCACCTCAAACCAGTTAATAAAATTTAAGGGATTTAAATTAAAATAGTTTATTTCGAGTGCTTGATGCAGCACATGATGGGGAGGGTGCAAACTGTATACTGTACTTCTGGGAGACTCTTTCAACAGTTCACAAACCTGTGAAGAAAGAAGCACTTAAAGCTACAAACTCCGGGACTGATTCACTGCTAAGAGTCAGGACAACTGAAGGGACTCTACAGGTCAATGTTTTCTTTAGAGCACATGTACTTTTGGACAAGAAGTTTACTGTTGTTGCCTCCCTACAGTGCTGAGGCTGAAATCCTGTTGGTTTTGAAATGTACTGAAGCTCCTTTACAGCAGGTTCTGTAACTAAATACACTGTACTACAGAAAGAATCACATTATATGGGAGATCTAAGACCACCAAAAGACTAAATATATTCATCACATCTATCTTCCCTTACTCTGCTCTTGGAAACACTCACTGAAGGACTGGTGTCTCTCTTCTCTATTGGTATCTCTAGCAATGAGACATAAGCTAAAAAAAAAAAAAAAATCTTCATTTATTCCTAAAAATATTCTGGTCCCATATGAAAATTAAGACTTTCTCCAAGAGCTAAAATTAACAGTATTACCAACAACAGCTAAGTACAGAGCACCAGGGGTGTTTCGTGAAGAGCTACTGGCTTCCTGTAGGTATTAGAGCCACTCTCTGCTCTCTCCAAAGTGGGTAATAAGTGCCCATCTCAGCAAATCAAACCTCCACACTGCTCTTTGTCAGCTACTGGGGAATGGTTTAGTGTTAAGTTGAAGAGGAAAGACGACCACTCTTCTAACACATTGCAGCCAGCAGGGGGAGCAGCACATTTTCCGCCTTCTGCTCTAAACTGAACCTGACCAGTGTAAAGTCTAGAAGAAAAATATGGTAAATATCAACTCCTGTGACACAAGGTCAGCGAGATGACAATGCCTGTGACATAAGCCTGCAACACACATACACACACTCATGCCAAACCCAAAGGTAGTCTAATGCTACAGCAGAGATAAGTTGAACATTTTTGCCTCCACAGGGTGTGCCACCAACGTTCATGCTGCGGTTAGCACAACGCAAGGCAAATTTTCTGCCAGTGCCTGTGGCAGGCAGTTGTCCATTTCCTTGATTCAGTAAGTCCTCCTTGATTTGTGAAACCTCTTAGCCTTACTGGTGACTTCCAAGAGCAACACAGAATACAGATATTTAATAAGAAGTTTGTTAATTTGGGGAGTTAATAAATGTAATAACATCCTACCAAAAAAAAAAAAAATCATAATTAAAACAAATGAACCATTATGCTACTGGTCAGTTTATGACTTTATCTTGATGCTTAAATTCGAGAATTATAGCAAAATCCTGAATTAGGGGCATCTTGCCCTGTGAACTGCTACAGCTTCTTGCCAACCAGCATGCAACTCTTTTTGCCCATGTTTGTTTGAGTCACCCTGCAGCCTGTCTGGATAGGCAGCATGGCAAAGATACTAAAAAATGAGAAGGCAGAGATCCTAGCAATGCAAGTAAAATCTGTCCCAATTTCTATCCTTTTAAGATAGTTTGTCCCTGCCCAGAGAGGCACCAGTTGCTGAGTAAAAACAAAAGAGAGAGAAAACATATTAACCAATATTCACAACAAGGGGGGAAATCGGTAAAGCAAAAGAACAAAAAACACTGATTGACGACAGTCAGTGATGGTGGCAGTTCACTCTTGTCTGCAGTCTCAGCCAAGCAAGCATCTGCTCTGCTGGCCATACACTGACAGTGGTTGTTATACACCTCAGAAACACTATGACCTTCCCTACAGAGGAAAATTAAAGATGTACATTCATATGCTTTTGTGTAACACCCAACATCAGAATCACAAAATGTAAGGGGTGGGAAAGGACATATGGAGATCATTTGAGTCCAATCCCCCGTGCCAGAGCAGGACCATCTAG